TCCAAACCGGCAAAACCTGGGCCACCGAAGTGGAATGTGCGCACTTAACAGCTGCGCCACTGGGCTGGCCCCAGTTCTCTTGAATCTTTGAGTTGGGGGTGAGGTGGGGAGGAAAGCCCCCTGGACACAGCCCTGGGCAGTCTCTGAGCCTCAGTTTGCTTGTCTGTAAAGGGAGGGCCTTGGCCCAGCTGGGCCAGCCTCGTGGGGCGGTCATGGAACGGAAATGGTGTGGCCCAGAGCTGCAAATTCTGTGACCCCTATGAGGTGACGTGTGAGCTTGGAGTGGCGAGCCTGCTGCCGTGGGCCTGGGCCTGTGCCGGGCTCTGTGTGGGGAGATGCGTGCCAGGCATGCAGGGGCCACTGTAGCTGAGGGTCTGTGTGTGGAGACACGTCCATGTGCACGTACACGGTGAGTCCAAAGCCGCAGCTGCATGTGTGGCACATACACGTGAGTGTGTGCGTGCATGTGTGAGCACGCGTGTGTGTGTGAGGGCATGTGTGTGTACGTGTCGGTGCAACTGCCCTGACAGCCGTGAGCTGCGCCTCCCGTGTAACCCTCCACCCCTGCCAGCTCGGGAGGACCCCTCTGGGGTAGGGGGGTGGCTGGGTGCTCATGCCCAGGCCCCAGCCAGCTGGTTATTTATTGATTAATTCTGCTGCCAGCTGATGGATGCCGAGCCCGTGCCAGGCGCGGGCCGGCCTGATTTACATAATTAAAAACCATCAGTAACAGAGCCAGGCCTCACCCGCCCACTGCCTCCTCCATACCGCCAGCCCCCGCCCCTGTCCTCTGTACCCGAGGCTTCCTCCCCTCCCGGGCCCCTTGGCTCTCCCACCGGCCCTGTCCCGGCCCAGCGACCTGGGCCCTCCACACATCAGCCACCCAGTCCGTGACGGAGACGGTAGTTTTCTCAGATTCTCGAGTCACTGACTCCGAGATTCTATTAGTCAACGGTTCTGAGGCTCTTTGCCGGAGAGCCCCGGATTATAAGATTCAGCTGCCACCCTCCGAGGACGCGATTTTTCAACAGTCTATTACTCTGTGTGACAAAGGGGGAAACGTCGGCGCTCGCAGCCCTGGCTGCTCTCAGGGAGGCGGGCTGCTGTCGGGAGGGCCCGGCTGTCCCTGGAGGGCCCCGCAGTGAGCTGGGTGTGTTGGTCACAGCCTTACAGGAGGAGACATTTGTCACTGCAGAGGCCGAGGGTGGTGGTGGGGACGCCACGGGGAGGGCAGGAGGAAGAAGCCCTTGGTGGCGGCCCCCCTTCAAGAGGGACATCAGAGAATATGGGATCCTGGGGCGTGTGGGGTGTCAACCCCCTTGTTGGCGTCACCTCCAGTGTCTTCAGCAAAGGCTGTCACATTTAGAGGGGCAGTTTGGGGGGATGACTGGCTCCCCCACTTCCCAGCTGGGGGTCTTGGGGAAGCTGCTCACTTTCTCTGAGCTGCAGGTACCTTCGCGCCTGGAAGATGGGGTTGTCGCGAGGACGGAGTGCAGCCAGCGGGTGGTGGGCCCTTGAGGAACGGTGGCGACTGTCGTGTGGGAGTGGGTCTTTTGGGGAGACCGACAGAGGGCTGGGGAGACCCGGTGAAGGAGGGGCTGCGGGAGGGCTGGGGGCTCTTCACACGGGCGGGCTGGATCTCCCTGTTTCCACTGGTCAGCTCCCAGGGAAGCCTGTGCTCAGAGGATGTTTGCTGAATGAATGAATGATTTTCTCTTCTCTCAGGGTTTCCCAAACACGGTGCCAACCCCAGCCAGCCCTCAGCCGGTGTAGGCAGGGTACCTGGGACACATGGCTTCTCTCGGGTGGGTCCCCGGGCCTTGCTGTCTGCGGCTCCATCGGTCCCCATCTCCCTCCGCCCCTCGTCAGCCGCCGCCCCCGCAGTCGGCCTTCCTCTGAAGCAGTCTGGGGCAGACATGGCTGACCGACCCCACATCCGCCATCGTGGCCTGGAAGCGCACGCATAGGCCCTGTTCCCCGAGCCACACATCTTAGTCCTAGCGTGACGGAACCTGAGGACCTCAGTCCTGTCGTCCCGGAAGCTCAGAACTGAAAAGCCCCAGCGCAGCTTCGCTCTCACCTGTGACGTCATGAGCTACATGGCGGTGCAGGGCTCCCGGCTGGCCACCAATCTTGGGTGGACTAAGAATTGTTGTAATTTAAAACATCTGACTAAAATATAATGTTCAAAATTCATGAGAGAGGGGCTGGCCCAGCGGCACAACGGTGAAGTGCGCACGTTCCACTTCAGTAGCCTGGGGTTCGCTGGTTCAGATCCCGGGTGTGGACATGGCACCGCTTGGCAAGCCGTGCTGTGGTAGGCGTCCCAAATATAAAGTAGAGGAAGATGGACATGGATGTTAGCTCAGGGCCAGTCTTCCTCAGCAAAAAAGAGGAGGATTGGCAGCAGATGTTAGATTGGCTAATCTTCCTCAAAAAAAAAAAATTCATGATAGACTGTAAGATGGTGAGCCGCTGTGGAAAACAGTTTGGCAGTTCCTCGAAAAGTTAAACAGATTTACCACTCGACCCAGCACTTCCACTCCTGGGTATGCAGCCAAAGGAGCTGGAAAGTTCTCTGAAAGCAGAGACCCAAACAGATGCTCGTAGCCCACGTTCGCGGCAGCGCTGTTACGATAGCTAAGTGTGGAAAAAAACCCCAAAGTCCATCAGCAGAGGATGGAGAAACAAACTCCAAAACATACAAAAATATAAAACAGATGCACACAATGGAATACTATTCAGCCCCAAAAAGGAAGGAAATTCTGACACATGGATGATGCTCGAGGACATTATGCTGAGTGAAACGAACCAGACACAAAAGGACAGAGACTGCGGGATTCCAGTTGTGGGAGGCCTTAGAGCTGGCATAGTCACAGAGACAGACAGCTGAAGAGGTGACCAGGGGCTGGGGCCGGGGCTGGGGGTGGGTGTTCAACGATCACAGTTTCAGTTTGGGAAGAGAAAAAGCGACGGAGGTGGGTGGTGGTGATGGCTGCCCAGCGATGTGAGTGTACTTCACGCCACTGGACCGTCCACTCAACAATGGTCAAAATGGTAAATTTTGTGTTATGTATATTTTACCACAATAAAAAAAAGGCTTCTTTTTTTGAGGAAGATTAGCCCTGAGCTAACTGCTGCCAATCCTCCTCTTTTTGCTGAGGAAGACTGGCCCTGAGCTAACATCTGTGCCCATCTTCCTCTACTTTCTATGTGGGACGCCTACCACAGCATGGCTTGGCAAGTGGTGCCATGTCTGCACCCGGGATCCAAAGCGGTGAACCCCAGGCCGCTGAAGCGGAATGTGCGCACCCAACCGCTGCGCCACCAGGCTGGCCCCAAAAGGCTTCATTTTATTGAGAGAGATTATTTTGCTTGTCAAATGAGTGTGTGAAAGCCAGAACGTAAGAGCTGCTGCCGAACCAGAAGGAACCCTCTCCAGGGTGAAATGCAGCCAAGAGGGTCCGGCCGCTTGTCCCGACCCCTTTCCAGCTCTCGGGCGCACTGCACGGGCCAGCTTCTCATCTGACAGGCGCTAGAGAGAGGCCACCGTGAGAAATTGCCTTCTTTTTAACGTTCATGATCGATCCTCCAGGCCCCTGTGCTCCTGGCACACAGTGGGCCCTCAATCATTACTTGCTGAGTAGAGGAATGAGCCAGGCCTCCCCTCTGGCCTGGTGATGAGCTAGCTTGACCAGCGGCTCATGTTTCCCATCCATGAAAACCAGCTGCTTTTCTTTCATTCTTGATTTCACCCAACCAGACAACCCGTTACTTAGCCGCAGGTTGTCGGGGACGGGGACAAGGGCCTGGTGGCAGTCAGGCGGTTCTGGCTTTGAGGATTGGACACAGCCCCCGAGGTGATGAAGGCAATTTCTCACGGTGGCCTCTCTCTAGCGCCTGTCAGATGAGAAGCTGGCCCGTGCAGTGCGCCCGAGAGCTGGAAAGGGGTCGGGACAAGCGGCCGGACCCTCTTGGCTGCATTTCACCCTGGAGAGGGTTCCTTCTGGTTCGGCAGCAGCTCTTACATTCTGGCTTTCACACACTCATTGCTGTGTCATCGATTTCTCCCCCCAGCAAGCGCAGAAAACTGGCAAGTGCTGGGACAGAGTCAGGCTCCTGGGGATCAAGAGATGTGCCCCACGGTCTGGTCTCACAAAACCCTGGTATCTTTTTATCAATTGTGAAAATTGTAATTTAGCCCCAAGGCGACAGAGTCAGATTACTGAAGGTGCTGAGCGTACGGCCAAGGCCTGTTGCTTAAAGTCGAAGGGATGGTGTTCGCTGGCGTTCCCGCGTCGTACAGGAAGACTTTTAATCTCGTCCCTCCTTTAAAAAACCTTGATGTGCACCTTCATTCGACAGCGAGTCGCTCAGGTTGGAAAAGCAGATCTGCGCTCGCTTGTCTCTTCTGGCAGCTGGCTAAGAAGATGTCCGCTCGGTGCCTTTGGTTTGATCGCTCTCGTGATGTTCTCACTTTCTCTCGTCATTAAATGAAGATTGGGAGGCACCTTGTCACCCACCAGCTGCTCACTGTGAATGAGCGCTGAGCGTGGCATTCCCAAGCAGGCACCTCCATCTCCGTAGCTGCGATCTTCCTTGCAGCCCACGTGGTGGCCGGGAGTCCGTCCTGATCCCCGTGTCCCTTTCCAGGCTACATCGTGGCTCACAAAGGAATCATCAAGTTAACCAAAAAATGTGCTGCCCGGCAGCATCGATGTTGAGCGATGAACAAGGACCCAAATCAATTGTGGAGGACATTCCCCTCGTGTCTGTATGGATCAGGCTTCAGGTGATGGAAAAAATCCAGCTCCGAAGGCTTTAATAAACAAAGGTGTATTCCTGAGATTATAGGTCTGTCTGCTGTAACAAAAGCCAAAATATCAGTGATTTACATAAGATGGAAATTTACTTCTCTCTCATATAACAGTCTGAGCATAATGTGACCAGTGCCGATGGGTTGCAGCTTTTAATTTTATTCCCTGCCTTCCACAACCCACAGGTGGCTCCACCATCTGGTTTAATATGGCTGCTCCAGCTCCTGCCATTGCATCTGCATTCCAGCCTGTGGGAAGGGCAGAAAAACAAAGGAGAGCTATGCACCTTTCCTTCTGAGGGTATGAATAGGAAATTGTGCAACTCACCTCTGCTCTCATTTCATTGGCCAGAATCCAGTAATATGGCCACGCCTATCTGCAAGGTAAGCTGGGAAATGTAGTCTTTATCTGGCAGCTAAGTATTAAGTGAAACTTCTGTTTCTGTAGAGGGAAGGGAGACCTGATATCGGGGGACAGCTAGTAGTCTCTTCATTCACTCAGTGAATAGTGTTGAGCCCCACAGTGGTGAGGAGGAAGCAGTGAACAAGGCAACAAGTATCCTGTTTGTCACAGGTTTATACTCAGGTAGGAGGAGAGCAGGAGAGGGTTTCAAGGAGGAGGGAGTGGTCAGCTGTGTCTAAAGTGGCTGTCTTCTTCATGTGACAGGAAGCTTTGAGGAGAGACAAGATGGCTGCCACAGTCGCCTCCAGCATTATGCCAGCATTCCAGGCGGAAGAAGGTGGGAGAAATGTGGGGCCCCACCAGTTGCGTCTGACTGATCTTAAAAGAAGAGGAAAAGCTTTCTTAGAAACCCACTAGCTGCTTTCTGCTCAGATCTCGTTAGTAGAATGGGGTTGCACGGCTACCTGTAGCTGCAAGGGAGGCTGGGAAATCAGGACCAGGATTCTCGGATTGGCCAGAGCTTGGCACATTGCCCATCAAATGCAGCCAGCGTTCAGCTAAGAGGAAGGGGGCTCGCCGGGGGCACCCCCCATACGTGTGCCAAAGTCTGACACGCCCGGCCCACCAACGGTTGTCTGCGTCTGTACAGGGAAACCTCTGCGGGCACACACACATGATCGTTACCCATCTTCCACGTTCTTGGCCATTAATTTCATGCCCCCCTCCTACCCCACTCCCAACAGTGTTATTTGATGAAAGGTGAAATAATTCTGCCAATAGCTTAACCTCTTTGCTCTGACTACTTGTCACTCACCGCTGGCTGGCTTTATAAGTGTCCTGGCAATATGGTGGTTTGTACTGGCTTTTCCAGGAGGCCAGCCGCTTGAATAATGCCCTCCCCTCTGCCTTTACTGAGGGAAGCCATCAATTTTGTTCTGGAAAGCTTTATTTTGTGCTTGTTCTAGAAACAGTCCAACGGTTTCCCAGAACGATGTTTGGTGGGGAAAAAGATGTGAAAACCTCAAAGGCTCCCAGCCACCGCCAGGCACCGTGACATGAGAGACCCCACGTGGGTCACATGTATGACGCAACTCCACTTTCAGGTATTTTGGGCTGAACCTTCTATTTTTACTTTTCTTCTTTGCTTGTGCAAAATCCTACCCCTCCAAACCAGCACCTTTCACAGGCGCATCAAAATCCTATTCCCTGTGGAATGCCTTCTTCTGAATTATAGAATTTTTGGTAATATTTTCATCCCTACTTGAATGTTTCCACAGACCATTTGGCATTATTAATCCACTTTTGTTGTTTGAAGCTATAACACAGCAGCAAACACGTCAGAGGGAGTGCTATGTGCCAGGCACCACTCCAAGCGCTTTATATATATTGTGGCCGTTTTAAAATGTGCCCCCAATTTGTTTCACACTGCTCCTGTTAAGAGGTGACATCTCTGTCCCTTCGACTTTAATCTGGGCTGCACTTAGTGACTCGGTGATTGCCAATAGGAGGCAGCGGAAGTGGTGGTTTGTGATTTCCAGGGCCAGGTTCGAAAGACCTCGTAGCTTCTGCCTGGTTCCCCTGGGACACTCGTCCTGGGGAAGGCAGCCACCATGTAACAAGCCCAGGTCCCCTGACTCCGCCAGGCTGGAGGTGGGCTCTTCAGTCACCAGCTCCAGCAGAGCTGCCAACCCACGACGGGCACCAGGTGCAGCGTGTGAGCTAGCCGTCTTGGCCACCCAGTGCTGCCCTGCTGAGCCGTCGGATGATGGCAGCCCCAGCTGGCATCTGACCACACTCGCACGAGGACCCTGAGAGAGAACAGCCCAGCTGAGCCCTTCCAGAGCTCCTGACCCACAACATCGTGAGCAGAATAAAACAGTTGTGTGTGCGTGTGGGTTTTTTTTTTTTTTTTTTTGCACCACTAGGATTTTTAGGCAGCAATACTAACCAGAAGACACAGAACTCATTCACTTTCGATTTTTTAGAGAAAGAAGTTGAGCCTCAGAGAGATTAAGCAACTCACACACGTTTTCGTGGAGGAGATAAGAGACGATGCAGGTGGGCTGATTCTAACATTCTGCCTCTTGACAATAAGGGGGGAAAAAGGGGAAATTAACAAACAAGCAGCAATACACAAACTAAAAATGCGCCAGCCGGGCTAATGGCACCCTGCTGAGGGACCCGCCACTGCAGCCCGACGGACTCTGGGACACACACCACCTTTAAGAATCGAGTGATTCCTGCAAAATTCACAGTGAATTTCACGTTTCAAATTTGCAAAGCATAAGTAAATAATATTCTTCCGAGCCTTCTTGCATCTAAAACCTCTGAACTGCCTGGGGACGTCAGGGTTTCGAGCGCACATGAGGGAGGCCCTGACCCCCGACTCATAGGATCTTAGGCACGGGAGTGCAGGAGCTTCCTGGCACAAAATATTAGAGCCAGAAAATAAAAGGACACCAAATGCAACTGTTGGAAGCACCTTGTTGCTCATCCCATCCAACCTCCCACCCAGGGCAAGATGAGGAAAAGCCACGGGAGAGCAGAGCAGCTGCTCCATGCGGTGGCCCGAGCGGCGTCTGAGGCAGCTTGTGATTAATGGCCAAGAATCACAGGGAAAAAACAGCCATCAGATCACGGGTTCCGGGTGGTCACTGAGGGTGGGGGATGGGGTCGCCTTGGTGGGCATGTGACCTGTGCAGTCACCCGGGGCCCCCTGCCTTGACGGATGCCACATTTGGTTTAATGCTCTCCATCGCCGTCTTGAAATTCTTAATAATTTTTGAGCAAGTGTGTCGCATTTTCATTTTTCACTGGGTCACACAGAGTGTGTCACTGTCCAGGCTGGGAAGGTCTGAGAGCTGGCTCAGGAAGGGGCATCTCAGGTGGGGGAGCAGGGCAGCAAAGTCTGGGAGCTAGAAAGCCCCAAATCGGCGTGGGAAGCAGTGACTTGCCCAAGACCACTTAGTTAGGAGGTGGTAGCACAAGGAACTGAGCCCAGTCTTGTCGGACTCCAAGGCTCCTGGTCTTAAACACTTTGCTCTCTTGTCTCCTGGGACAGACCTCACACCTGAGCTGCCTTTCTGACTGTTCCTATAATCTCAGCCTTCTCTTCCAGGGAGCCTTCCTGGATTGCTCTGGCTCAATCATGTTTGCCATTCCCTCCTTACTTCATCCTTCCTACCTGGCTGAGCTACGGCCCTTGCCCCAGCCTGTCTCCTTTCCCTGCCCCTCCTGGCTAGAGTCTACGGTAGCTTCTGGGCCCCCAGGCTGATTCTGACAGTGCCTTACCCCCCAAGAAGTCTTGGGCTCAGTTCTCCTGCTGCAAACTTCATGTAGATTCTATAGTGCAGCCTCTCTCACCTTCCTATTCCTAGAGCTGGGCTCCTGCCTCAGTTTCCCTGTCTAAGACGCCAAAGAACTATGGGATAATGGGACTCAGGCCTGGTTCACATTCTGTCCCACCACACACTCTAGTGCAAGCAGCTTAGCCTCTCCAAGCCTCAGTCTCCCCATCTGTTAAGTGGAGGGAGACCCCACATCAGCCAAGTGATCAAGGTTAGCATCGCCAGTCATGTGGATGTCGTGCACCCAATGACGAGGGCGCCACACCTCTGTGTTCTCTCCCCTAACCGAGGGACGTGCTACAAGATGTGTGAGCGGTACCCTCGCAAACCAAGGTCATGAAAAGCAAGGAAAGAAGGAGAAGCTGTCACAGACCTGAGGAGACCAAGGAGACCCATGGCTAAATGTGACGTGAGATCCTGGACCAGAAAAAGGACGTGAGTGGAAAAACGGTGAATCTGAATGAAGTCTGGGGTTTAGTTAACAGTAATGTACTGGTGCTAATTTCTTAATTTTGACAAATGTACCGTGGTTATGTACGAGGTTAACACCGGGGGAAGCTGGGTGAAGGGTATACAGCAACTCTCTGTGCTCCCCTTGCAGTTTTTTCTAAAAATCTAAAATTATTCCAAAATGAGATGTTTATTTTAAAAACCCCAAAGCTGCACCGTGGCCACTGCTTTTGTCCACACAGTGACCCTCCCCCATTCTGCTGACAGGCCCCCCTTCTGGCCGTAAGGGTCGGGATACCTGAGCTGCCTGGGCCCTCAGTCTGGCAGCCTCATCCTGGCCACGTGATTGGTCCAAGGGGTAAGCATGTGACCCACGCTGGGCCAATCAGAGTCCTCGCCTAGAAATGCTCGGTTGGAATTGGCAGAACAGCTCATCCCGCTCAGCGCGAATCTGTGAGGCTGTGGGGCTGTAAGCTGGGGGCTCCGGGGGCTCCTGGGGGCCCTGCAGTGGCGACTGTGTCCTGAAAGAGCTAAGCCACCTAGAGAGAGAATGCTGGTGGCATTCTGGATGGCCTCCCCCACCTTCCCAGCCTTCCTCAGGCCGACCCTCCCAGTCCTGCCCTGTTATAGGAGCCAGGATATCCTCTTCGAGTCTAAGCCAGTTCAAAGTCGGGTTTCTGCCCCTTGCAAACGACTAGTCCCGACTGGTAACCTCCTCTCAGGCTCTTGTGGGGATCTGAGGCGTGACGTGACCTGGCACACGGCCAGCCCGCCAGGATGGTCAGGGAGGCTGGGGTCCTCTCCGAGGCTCTGGGGCCTGCCCTGAACGCCAGCCCGCGTGGCGGTGGCCCCGACGCCCACCCTGCTCCTCCCCAGCCCGGGTCCTGCTTCCAACGAGCCCACTGACTTCACACACCCTCCCGCCTCCGGGCTCTGCTGGGGCCTCCCCGCTCAGAGCTGAGTTTGCAGCCGTGATTGGGCCCGGCTCTGGGAAGGCATCAGAGAGGAGGAACCGGAACTTGGCCTCCGGCAGAAAATTCCCTCCTCAGAAGTGGGGGAAAACCCGACGCCGGCCTGGCCAGACGCAGCGAAAGCAAGGCGTGCTGGGGTTCGGGCTGCCACGGTTTGTGCAGCTCATGTCCTAAGAATGAAGTGTGACGGGAGTTCCACGGCTGCAAGCGGCAAGTGGGCGGTGAGCTTGAGGTGCCAGGAGAGGTTTCAGAGAAACCGCAGGCAGAGCGATCCGAAGGATCTGAGTGAGAAAGGGCCAAGTCGCTCTTTTATCTCAGGTCTGGGCTGTGGGCCAGGAAGACAGAGCCACCACTGGGGAAATAGAGGGAGTGTACGGAGGCCGTGCAGCCACTTTGTCCGAGGGGGAGGGGAAGGGGCGCCTGAATGCGGGCTGGGAAGAACCATGCATGGCCCGAGGAGGGACGAGGCAGGGTGTGGGTTGCCTCCCTGGGTCTCAGTTGCCCCAAACTGTGCCCCCGGTCGTCTCAGGTCTCCGTGATTGCTCCTTCCAGGGCCCTGCCTGCCTGCCCCTCCCACCTGTCAGCTGGCAGGTGGCTGGAGCATCTCTTCCTGGGTGCAGGGTTCCTTTTGCCCAGTGCCCAGCCCTGGCCCCCGGGCAGAACAGAATCGCATGTCTTTCTGCTCTCCCATGCTTTTTCTCTCCTCACCTGGCCACGCTCCCTTCCTTCCTTCATTTGTTCACTCAGGCATGAATGTGATCATTTTATTCAACAAATATTTTTGGAGAGCTGCTGCATGCCAGATTCTGGGGAAATAGAGGTGAAGAGGACAGACCCCACCCCTGCCTTTGTTTCAGCGATGGGGAGAGAAGGGCCCGGGTCTAGGGTGCATTTTGGAGGCAGAGCTGACAGGAGTTGTTAATGGATCAAATTGCTGGAAGCCCAGGTGGCATCGAGGTGGCATCTGGGTTTTGGGGCTGAGTCACTGGGTGGCAGCCACACACACACCCTCCATTCCCCACAGAGCCTTGGGAACACACAGCTCCTCACCCACCCACAGGGACTTCAGATGCCCGGATTCTAGGCTGAGGGAACGTCAGGAATCCAGGCAGGGATTCCTGGGAAAGAGGAGCTGTACTGGGGCTAAGAATGAGGCCACCAGCCTCAAATACACGGGAATCCTGCAGCCCCAGGACGGCCCCATCGGCAGGAAAGCTGGGGTGACTCCCGGTGCTGCCTCTTCTTCTGTGTGATCTTGGTCAAATTGCTTAGCCTCTCTGATCTCATCAGTAAAATGGGAATCATAACAATAAGGACCTCTTAGGATTGTTGTCATCATCCACTGAGACTAATTCATGGGGAACACTTGGCGTCGAGCCTGAGAGACATAGTAAACGCCCCCATTTCGAGCTATTATTAGGATTCTAGGTAGAACGTGGCCAGGTTGCAGAGAACTCCAGATGCCGCTGCAAGGAGCTGGCGCTTCACCCCGTGGAGTTGGAGCCTGGAAGGTTTGGGGCAGAGAAAGAGCACGAGGAAACGAGCCAGTCAGCACCTCTCCAGTCGCTGCAGCATCCCAAGCCTCAGAGCCGACAGCAGGTCAGCGGTGACAAGCCCGGCCACGGGGCCGGTGACCTCCAGCTCCCAGGGGCCTCCAGCTGCCCCAATTCTGGACGGGCTTCTGACCCCACCCCCAGCATCCCTCTGGGCAGCACCAGATAGATGGTTTAATAATGCGTGCTGCCTGGCTGACCTTGTGGCTGCGGAACCAGCTGAGATGCACACCACCTTCCTGCCGTGGTCACAGGGCCCAGGCCAGAGGATCCAGCAGAATCCCAGGACGGAGAATCCTGGAGCCCCAGGTAACGGCGCTTAGACCCAAATGGCAGACGCTGTGACAGTGCAGGGCTTGATGTGGTGGGCATAAGTCAGGTAGAGGCCCAGAGCACGGGGTCTCCCCCAGCCCCCTCCAGCCCTCCCTGGGGGGCAGGTGGTCTGTCACAGGGCTCTCCATGCCTGCAGACCCCACCTGTGCTTCAATAGGCTTCCCGGTCTGACCCTTGCACCGCTGGGTGGGGCAGCGCATGAGGGCCCTCCCCAGCACCCGCTTTGTGCCTGGCGAGGGGCTGGGCACCCAGAGGCAGACCGGGTCAGACGTGGCCGGGTCTGGGAATAGCTCACGCTCTAGCGGAGGCACCAGGTGGTGAGGCTCCGTCCCTCTCTGTCCAGGCTGCCAGGCCTGCTCTCACGTGACTGGTAGGGAGGCAGGCTGGCCACCCTAACCACCCAGGAATCTCAGCCCCAAGTCAGGCCGGCAGGGTGCCCTCGGCACCCCTAATGTGGTTCCCTGGGGCCCCTCCTGTAAGAGGATCTCTGGGTCAAAGGGTATCGACCTGGACACTTCAAAATATCCCCCAGAGTGTGGCCTCGGCCTCTGGCCATCGTAAGCACCCTCTCGTTGGGGCCACATGCCCCGTCACCCTTTGCTCTTGTCAAGTCTCCTCAGGACCTTCACATACTTTCTTCTTGTCCCAGTAGCTTTGAGCTGCCCTCGATTCATGGCCTATGAGGACCAAGACTCTCAGAATCATAGAATCCTAAGGAATCGGATCCTCCGACTCCAGGATCCACACCCCCGGTGCTGTTTCTGCCTTGGCTAGTCTGGATGCAGAACACAGAACTTCCTCAGTTTCCCCAAATGTAACTCCAGCCCACTGGCCCCCAAGACGGCTCCTGATGATAGCTTCCTCCGGGAACTCACACCCTGTCCTCTCCCACCAAGCCCAGGGAGGAGCCGTGTGACCAACAGGACATCGCAACAGTGACAGTGTGTGCCTTCTGAGGGTAGCTCATCCAAGACCTGTGGCTTCCTCCTTGTTCTCGCTCTGGGGGAGGCAGCCCACGCTGTGAGGACGCTCAAGCAGTTGTGTGGGGGCAGTCCATGTGACAAGGACCTGAAGCCGCCCGCCCACAGCCGGCCCCACCTTGCCAGCCACGGGAATGAGCCGTCTTTGGAGCAGGTCCTCCAGCCCCAGTCCAGCCTTCAGATGAGTGTAGCCCCAGCCACACGCTTGACTCGACCTTACGAGAGACCTCAAGCCAGAATCACCGGCTTCCCGATTCCTGACCACAGGAACTGCGAAACTGTAACCACATTTTGCTGATTTAAGCCACTGAGTTTGGCAATTTGTTACACAGCAATAGATGGTTAATATGATAACCACATAGACTTTTCCCAAGGGAGGTGGGGGGGGCAGTGAGAGGGTGGGAGAGGAGGCTGAAGTGGGGGGAGGGGCTTATCTCGCAGACTCCCCAGCAACATAACTTAAAAATCCCTTTTAGAAATGTCTATTCTCCAAAGACCCTTCACAATCAGCCTCCTCTGGGGACGTCCCTCCCTCTCACCTTCTCCGGACCTGAGGTCTCCTGCCTACTTTCCTCAAACCCCAGCTCCACGTCCTCTCATCCTTATCGGGCCCAGGAATTATCTGTTTCCTAACCACTGCCTTCAACCTTCATACCCTGACCTGTCACGGTGCCCAACAAAACACTGCTCGATGAGAGGACCGACCTTCCTGAGAAGGCAGCTCAGGCTTCACGTCTTCGTATTACATGGGGGATGGCTCCACAGTGGGGCAGGAGGCAGAGATTTCAGGGTGGCCTCTTCATTCGTTTTCCTTCTGGGTTCTGTGTCTTATGACCGGTCCCTGTCTCCAGTGATCACAGCCCTCAGTTCCAGCATTGGAGGCACCACAGAAAATCTGATTTTTGGTCTGGATCCAAAACAGGAATGTGACACCCTGTACACGCTCTAGTGTGTGTGTGTATTTCTCTAAAAGAATCACTTAACCTAATTTTCTTAGCATCAACTCAAAATGCCGTGTAGACCGAGGGAAAAAAAATTCACCTAAGTACAGAGGGTAGATCTCGTTACGCACCTTCAACAAGCTTTTAGCATCCCTCTGTTCCTCTCACTCCTCTGTTCCTGAAGCCCCATGGAAAGGAAGATGTCCTGGAAAATGTCCTTGTGGCGATGTGGCCAGGGCAGCGGGGTCATTTGGACGTGAGCCACATCTGGTGAGCTCAGGAGAAAAGGGCATTTGTTGGTGAGCTGTTCAAGAAAGCTCCCACGCCCGGCGGGGAGATCCCAGAGCAGACGGGGTCCGGGATTCAGGACGGGGGCCAGGCAGCTGGAAATACCTGCCCGTCATCTGGCACTGAGGCTGCTCAGATGGTTCTGCTTTGGCCATTTTTTCTGTCCCCCTGTCATCACTCCAACCGTGACTCAGTTAGCCCAGCCTGGGCCGGGGGAGGCACCTTGAGTCACATTCCACCAAGAGGAGATTGGGGTGTTGGGGGGGAGGGGGCCAGATGCTGGATGCCCCAAACAATACCCTCCTAATGATCACTTTGGCGACTTATTCATGAGAATGATGTTTGGAAAGGGCCCTGCACAGTGTTGGCCTTGAGGGAGCCCCATACACGATAGCGACCACGACAGAGGTGATGGAGTGAGGGATAAGTCGGAGTGGGGGGGGACACACGTGAGAATGAATGATAATACAATGCGACACTGCTCTCCTTAAGGCCTATCCAGAGTGTTCCGGGAGCCAGAGGAGCAAGAAGTAACTTGGCCAGTTCAGCTTGGGGGTGGTCAGGGGAGGCTTCACGGAGGAGGTGGCCTTTGGGCAGTACCCAATGATAGACTGGAATTAGACAGGTGGGGAAGGAACATGAGAGGAGGAAAGGCTTCCAGGCTGAGGGAACAGCAGGATCAAAAGCAAAGGTGTGCAGATGACGGGGGGAGAGATTCATGGCATGTTCTGGAAAGGGCAGGAGTTGGTGTCCTGGGAGCACGTCGGGGGAGGGGGATACGAGATGATGCTGGAGGGGTAAGTCAGGGCCCCACGGGCAAGTTAAGGAGTGTGGGCTCGTTCCCTAGCAGAGAGGGCACACCGTTCATCTCTGTGTCTGCATGCAGGGCGGACGGCACCCACAGATCATGACACTTTCCGCAGAGGGAGCCCCTAGGCAGGTGCGGCCGGTCATTCGGCACCGTCGGGAGAAATGAAACACACCGCATCCCCACAAGGGCTCCCAGAGCTATGGGGGGGTTTAAATAGGGGGCGATAGGGAGGTCGTTGCAGGTGTCCGGGGAAAGATGGCAAAGCCTAACCTAGGACAGTGACCACGGGGATGGACACACGGCTGCTCACGTCTGTCTTGACCTTACCTCTCCATCAAGCAGTCTCCCCGCCCCCCAGCCCCTGCGCCTGGCCGGGTGCTCAGGGTCCCCGTGGGTGTGTGTGTGTGTGTGTGAGCTCTATTTTGGTGAGGAGGTTGCTGTTTTTCTGGACCTGCACTCCCCAACATGGTAGCCACTAGCTACATACGGTTACTTAAATCTAAGTTAATAATGTAAAAATTGAAAATTCAGTTCCTCGGTCCCAGTGGCCCCGACTTCAAGCACTCAATAGCCGCATGTGGTCAGTGGCTACTGTATGGGACAGTGCAGACACGGAACATTTCTACCATGGCAGAAAGTTCGACTGGACAGCGCGGGTCTGGAGGAAGCCCAGTGCAGTGTCCAGATGGTGTGGTCCACCATGACCCCCAGCTCGCCCAGGCCACCTCCATCTTCCATCTGGTGGCAGTGACTACGTTAAGAGTCTGAAATTTACATCTGTCTACTAAGGGAGAATCTTAGAACGTTTTAGGACCCAGAAGCACCTCAGAGCCTATCTAGCCAGACCTGGAGGTCCCAAGGGGAAGGAGGGGCCCATGTGGTGACCCCAGCATCGAGCTGGGGACACGGCTGCTCTTCTTATTTTCATTTCACAAAGGAGGAAACTGAGGCTCAGAGGGCTGTGACTTGCCCTTTGGCAGATGTCTGGGAAGGTCACGAAAACAGAACCAGGAGAGGCTCTCTTGCCGCCCACTAACTGGTATTCCCTGGGGTCGCTGCTCCGTGCCTCGCGGGAGCCCGTTAGGCGGGCCTCCACCAGAGCCCCCTCCGAAGGGGTGGGAGTGGGGTGAGCCGCGGCCGAGGGGGTAGGTCGGGGAGCTCTGCAGTTGCGAGCCGGATCCGCCAGAGGGCGCAGGGGACGCTGCGTCTCCTCCGGAGGTGGCTTGGCGGCGGGGAAGCATCTTCCAGCGCCGACTCGGGCTGGGACCCTGCTCCTCGCCCGGCCCCGGGCCAGGGACGGTCAGTGCGTTCCACACGGGCCCCGGCCCTCTAGGAGGCCTCAGTTTAGAGGGCAGACACAACATAATGGCTTGTTTGGGTGTGCAGCAAGGGGCCTTGAAGGGTGGGTAGGAGTGTGCCAGGCAGCCTGGAGTGCAGTTTGGAGGGCAGAGGTGGAAGCCCCAACAGTCTTTCTCCTACTTGGAGATGATGGTGGCCTGCGTCTCGGTGCTTGTGTGCCCTCCCAGCCCCATCCTGGGGCTGCTTTCCTGTCGTTTCTGAACAGACGTTCTTTCTGCTCCAGTAATGCCCAGCTCCATGGAGTTCCCTGCACACACACACACTCCAGGCTATTTATTTCATGCCTCTGTGCCTTTGCACATGCTGTTCCTGCAGCCTGGGACTTTTCTCCACCTTCTTCAGCTGACCAACTCCTACTCATCCGTCAAGATTCAGCTCAGGCAGTGGCTTCCTGCAGGCACCGCCCCCTCCTTGGCCTGGAGGAGATGCTCCCGCCAGCAGTCTGCAGCCGGGGCGGCGGGCGGGCGGGTGCAGCGTTCCGCTGTGCACTTCCTGAGGACAGGCACTGGTGCAGGCGGCCCGATAAGAGTGACTGAGACGCACAGGGCCTGCTGTAGCAGCGCTTCAGCTTGTGCGTTTGCGGGTCCCAGGGGCCGACGGGCGCCTGTTTCTTCCTGCACAAGTCACAAGCCCAGTCTCCTCATCAGGGGCTTGTGTGCCCAAGTGCAGGGGTACGGCCTGGAGGCCAGAGCTTTCTCCTGCAGCTCCTACCTCGCCCTAGCATCTAGCATCTCCCCCTTCGTAGGAGGCGCAGGTGTGCGCGGGGGTGGGGGGGGGGGCTGCGTTGGCCAGAGAGGAGCTTGGGCTCAGAGCCCAGCATCCTCCCCCCCCCCCCCCCCCGCCCACCTTGCATGCTTCTCAAGGGGTGGGGAAGGCAGCGAGCGGCAGCCAAGAGCCCTGGCACAAGGAAGAGACCTGGAGTCCAACACCGGCTCTGCTACCGAGCTCGCCATGTGACCTTGGGGGAGTCACTCCTTTCACCGAGCCTCAGTTGTCTCGCCTGTAAAATGGGAACGCAGCAGCCACGCGTCTTGGGATGCTAGCCGTTCAGCATGGGACGCGGCGGCCGGGCATGGGGTAAGGAGGGGGTCGGCGGGTGGAGGGGGAGTCCGGGGGTCGCGGGCGTCCTCGGGCGGGCGCTGGGGGGCGCTGCGCACCTCGGGCGGCCCGCCCCGCGGCAAGTTTGCCTCCAGCTGTTGAATGCGCGCGCGACGGCGCCGGCGGCACCCGGACCCCGGGCTGGGCAGGGCCGGGCCGGGCCGGGCCGGGCCGGGCCGGGCGGGGCGGGGGCGCTCAGCCGTCCGCGGTGCCGCCGCTCCCGGGCGCCGCAGCTGCCGCGCTCCAGCCAGGCGCGGCCCCCACCCCCGGGCGTGTGTCTGCGAGTGTGCGTGTGTCCGTGGAAGCATCCGGCCGGGAGAGGGGGCGGGAGGGTCTGGCTGCGGAGAGGCCTGCGGAGGGAGCCCGCGCCTGGCCGGCGAGGGCGGACGGACGGACAGACCGCCGGCCGCGGCCCCTGACGCACGCTGCGCCCCGGCCCCCTCCCGGGCGGCGGGGGTGGCGGTGTCTGCGCGCACACGCTCGCTCACAGACACACACACTCACACGGGCCACGCCATAGACACACGACACTCACCGAGCCACGGCCGGGCGCCGCGCACACTCGCACCCGCGTTCACACTCACTCACGCGCAGGCCCCGCCGCCGCGGTTGCCGGAGGCGGCGCTCAGCCCGGATCCTGGCTGGGGCTGGAGGTAAGTGAATTCCTCCGGATCCGAGCGCCCGGGGCCGGCAGAGACGGTGGGAGTGGGGGCTGGAGCCGGAGGGCCCCCCCCTCCGCCAGTGGGGTGGGGCTTGGAGGGGGACACAGCCAGGGGAGGATGAGATGGAGAAAGCCACCCCAGTGCCTCCTGGGTCTGGGGATCCCCGTGAGACCCCCGGGGGACCACTCTGTGTGGGGGGTGGGGGTAGTGGTGGAGGCGGGAGGTCGCGGAGGACGGTCGGTGAGGTGAGCATTTTGGGGGGTGGTGCAGAGGCTCGATGGTGGTGCCGGTGAGTGCCACACCGCACCTCTCTGTCCCCATCTTTGCAAACCGGGGGGCCTCGCCCCCCGTTTTCACGGAGCGCTGCCGGGGTCAAGGAATTCATCTTCGTAGCTGGTAAGGGAGGGTGATTGGTGCTGGCTGACAGCTCCAGGGGCAGGCGGCCGGGGTGGGGCTTTACCTGCTTCCCCGCAGGAGGGCGATGGGTTTGGTAAGAGGATCAGAATTGGGGAGTGGGGGCCCCCGGGGGGTGGGGACCCTTGCGAAGGCTCTGCCCCTTTCTTCCTGGCGCTGGTGCCGGGCAGGCAGGGAGGCAGCCCAGGGAAGCAGCAGCAATCGGCAGAGACTGCAGCTCTGGCAGGGCCAGGCCACTGCCTGGCTGTGTGTGTGTGTGTGTGTGTGTGTGCGCGCGCGCGCGCGTGTGTGTGTGTGTGTGTGTGTGTGTGAGCTCCAGCAACTGGCAGAGGAGAAGGGCAGTGGGGTGGGCTTGTTGGTTGGAGGGGCGGTGTGTGCACGTGGGGAGGGATGTGTGTGCGGGGTGTGTGCACCCAGGGCCGTGTGCAGGGGTGGACCCCACTCTCTCTGTACACACACACACAGACACACACACTGTCCGTGCCCAGCAGGGTTTCCTCAGCATCTGGAGGAGAGAGAGCCGATGTGTCTATGTGCGTGTTC